AGCTTTGCCAGTTCTAACTTTTGCCAGATAACGAGTGTCGATTTGCTGTTATTGGGCAATATATTTGTACTTTACGTGCCTTGTACTTTGAAGCTTTGATGAGAGCCACCCTCCTCTCATGAACTGTTGGGTGATGGATTTGGAGCAGCAAAGGTCACTGAGGGACTCAAAGATGAGAGAAATGTTGGGGGGGGGGCTGGGAAGAGCGATAAGAAGCTCAAAGGCAGGTGAGCTGCAAAGCCCAGTGAGAACTGAGAAATAAAGGAAGCTTGGGCTAAAGTAATGTTTGAGACAATGGGCTATTATCTCTTTTCCCCAGCCACTCATTTCCCTCTCTCCTCATTAACAAGCTAAATCGAATATGCATAAGTATGCCAGGAGTGGGGGGGGGAGCCCGTTTTATGTGCTGTCCATTGAAGTGGGACCCATCAAAGGCAGATTCCCAACTCGGACAGAAATAAAAGTAATACTTTACTTTCCAATTTGGGTCTCTTTCTCCTTTCTGCAGCACTCCAGTCAAGACAACCATTTGTTACCACGAGACCTGGTTCAGCTCCCTTCTTAGGAGTTAATGTGTGCTCAGGTACCAGGAGGCAGAGAGGTTAATGGTCAGAAACTAAGCTCCTGGCCGCATTTGGCAAATTATCTGGAGAAATCAGCCAGTGGAAACTGTGATGGACTCCAAAATCAATCAATTAAAGGGGGAAACTTGCTGCTTTCCCCCCTTCTGGGGGTGAGAAACCAGACCTCCCCCCACCCAGCTCCTATTCCCAGACTGACTTCAAGTATCTCCTTTGCTTTGGCGTAGATTTCATGATGTAACCAGTTACAAATGGTTCACCTCACAGGGGAGGGTAGCCTGAGGCCAGACTGCCAAGCAGAAAAGCGCTTGACTCATCCAAGGAGGAGATGCAAAGAGCCAGGGGAACCCGTTGTCTTCCAGAACTGCCCTTATCACATCAGATTGTGCATAGCAACTATGAATCATAGGGTTGGAAGGGAACTCAGAGGTCATCTAGTCCAAACCCCTGCAATGCAGGAATCTCAGCTAAAGCATCCCTGGCAAATGGCCACCCAACCTCTGTTTAAAAACCTCCAATTAAGGAGAGTCCACCACTTCTTGTGGGAACCTGTTTCACTGTTGAACACCTGTTACTGTCACAAAGTTCTTTCAGATGTTTAGTTGTAATCTCCTTTCTTGTAACTTGAAGCCATTGGTTGAGGTACTACCCTCCAGAGCAGGAGAAAACCAGCTTGCTCCACCTTCAGTATAATAATAATAATAATAATAATAATAATAATAATAATAATAATAATTTATTATTTGTACCCCGCCCATCTGGCTGGGTTTCCCCAGCCACTCTGGGCGGCTTCCAACAAAGATGAAAGATACACTAAAATTTCACATATTAAAAACTTCCCTGGACAGGGCTGCCTTAAGATGTCTTCTGAATGTCAGGTAGATGTTTATCGCTTTGACATCTGATGGGAGGGCGTTCCACATGGCGGGCGCCACTACCGAGAAGGCCCTCTGCCTTGTTCCCTGTAACTTGGCCTCTCGCAGTGAGGGAACCGCCAGAAGGCCCTCGGCGCTGGACCTCAATGTCCGGGCAGAACGATGGGGGAGGAGACGCTCCTTCAGATATACTGGACCGAGGCCATTTAGGGCTTTAAAGGTCAGCACCAACACTTTGAATTGTGCTCGGAAACGTACTGGGAGCCAATGTAGGTCTTTCAAGACCGGTGTTATATGGTCTCGGCGGCCGCTCCCAGTCACCAGTCTAGCTGCCGCATTCTGGATTAGTTGTAGTTTCCGGGTCACCTTCAAAGGTAGCCCCATGTAGAGCGCATTGCAGTAGTCCAAGCGGGAGATAACCAGAGCATGCACCACTCTGGCGAGACAGTCTGCAGGCAGATAGGGTCTCAGCCTACGTACCAGATGGAGCTGGTAAACAGCTGCCCTGGATACAGATTTGACCTGTGCCTCCATGGACAGCTGTGAGTCCAAAATGACTCCCAGGCTGCGCACCTGGTCCTTCAGGGGCACAGTTACCCCATTCAGGACCAGGGAATCCTCCACACCTGCCCGCCTCCTGTCCCCCCAAAACAGTACTTCTGTCTTGTCAGGATTCAACTCAATCTGTTAGCCGCCATCCATCCTCCAACCGCTTCCAGACACTCACACAGGACCTTCACCGCCTTCACTGGTTCTGATTTAGAAGAGAGGTAGAGCTGGGTATCATCCGCATACATGTGACCGAGTGTGAGATCCTTGAAGATGGCTTTCGTATCTCCTCTGAGTCTCCTCTTTTCCAGACCAAACATACCCAGCTCCTTCAACTGTTCCTCATAAGGCTTGGTTTCCAGACCCTTGGTCATCTTGGATGCCCTCCTCTGCACACCTTAAATAATAATAATAATAATAATAATAATAATAATAATAATAATAATGATGATGATGATGATTTATTATTTATACCCCGCCCATCTGGCTGGGCTTCCCCAGCCACTCTGGGCAGCTTCCAAAAGAATATTAAAATACATCAAACAAACAATATTAAAATACACCTTCCAGCTTGTCAACATCCTTCATAAATTGTGGTGCCCAGAACAGAACACAGGACTCCAGGCAGAATACAAATGGAAGGTGAGAGGTTGGGGGTGGCACTGGATTTTGGTGGCACAAAGGGCAATCACTGAAATTCGAGATGTCAAGGTCTTCTGCTGGTGGAGGTACAAAGCTGCCATTGTGGTTAGAAGCTATAGATAGTCCCCCCCAGAGCAGCACACAGGGGAAGGGGAGGGAATAATTTTTTGATCTGGCAAGAAGAAATGCTTGTGCTGATGGACCAATAATAACTGAATTCCTCCCATGCTTAAATTCGGGTGGATTATTCTTATTGCTAATGTGAGCTGGCTTTCCTTTTCTCTTTGTTACACTTGACACACATATAGAATATTTAAAGCTATTTGGGCAACTCTAATCACAATTTCCTCTCCAAGAGGAGAAATAACAGAGGATTTGATCTCCCCCGAAAGCCCCATCTCCAATAAGCTAAGGAATATTTTCGGAGGGTTATGGAGGGAGATACTCTAACCAGTTCTGGAGTAACCCAGCTGGCTCCAAAGCCTGTTTGCAGACTCTGAGCACAAGAAAGGTGAGCTCTTTGAAAGGTGAGCTCTTCGAAGGCTGGATTACCTGGCTGGGCTGAAGGAACAGCCGGGGTCACCCACTGAGTTAATGGAGGGCAAAAAAAATAATAATGAAACAAAAGGGGAAGAGCTTCTGTGTTACTCTTCGTCCCTTCTCTCGTGCTACAAAGTCTTGATGCAGGTTTTAAAACCCACTGACTCCTTAAACTGCAAGGTGAAAACATTAACTTTCTTATAATAAGTGATGTTACAGGGAACCAGGCAGAGGGCCTTCTCGGTAGTGGCGCCCGCCCTGTGGAACGCCTTCCCAGATGATGTCAAGGCAATAAACAACTATTTTACAGTGGTACCTCGCAAGACAAATGCCTCGCAAGACAAAAAACTCGCAAGACGGAAGGGTTTTTGGTTTTTTGAGTTGCTTCGCAAGACGATTTTCCCTATGGGCTTGCTTCGCAAGACGGAAATGTCTTGCAAGTTTGTTTCCTTTTTCTTAACACCATTAATACAGTTGCGACTTGACTTCGAGGAGCAACTCATAGAACGCGGTGTGGTAGCCTTTTTTGAGGTTTTTAAAGACTTTGGTGATTTTTGAAGCTTTTCCAAAACTTTCCTGACACTGTGCTTCGCAAGACAAAAAAAATCGCAAGACGACAAAACTCACGGAACAAATTAATTTCGTCTTGCGAGGCACCACTTTACTTTTAAAAGACAACTGAAGGTGGCCCTGTTTAGGGAAGTTTTTAATGTCTGATGCTGTATTGTTTTTAATATTCAGTTGGAAGCCGCCCAACTTCTTCTTCTTCTTATTATTATTATTATTATTATTGCTCGGATCTTGGCGGATGGAAATACAGAGTGAAAGAAATGCACTAGCATAAGTGTTACGATATAGAAGCAATGCAGCCGTGAGCTGCTGGTAGCTTGAAAGCAAAACATAATGGGAATGTTGGGACTGTCCGTGGGAAACAGAGGGACAGTCAATTCACAGGGCATTGCACCGGAATTAGCTCAGAGTGTAATATGAGCTCTTCCTCTTGTTCCTGTACAGGAAGTGCAGGAAGTGTTTCACTCTCGACTGCTGGAGTTTGAAGAGAGCAGTCATGTTTTTTGTAACGCTGCAAAGACAGAAATAAAGGCATGTAAATACGTTTTCTGTCTATCTCCTTTCCCTGCCGGGGGGGCAAGAAAGAGGGGGGGTGTTCTTCTCACGCTGAGAAGGATCGCCTATCACGACCTCTGCCTGGATCTTGCTGGGAAAGCAGACAAGGAGGTCAACAGGAGACCAAGCCTGGGAGAGTTGCCAGTTTCTACTGATAAAGGCTTGATTTCCGACAATAAGAACATAAGGGCCCTGCTGGATCACACCAATGGCCCATCTAGTCCCGCATCCTATTTTCAGACGTCTGTGGGGAAACCCACAAACAGGATTTGAGCACAAGAGACCTCTCGTCTCCTGTGGTTTCCAGCAACAGGTATTCAGAAGCATGATTGCCTCCATCTGTGGAGGCAGAGTAGACATCCTGGCTAGTAGCCATCAATAGTCCTCTCCTCCTCTAATCCTCTCTTTAAGCCATCCAAGTTTGTGGCCATCACTGCCTCCTGTGGCAGAGAGTTCCATAGTTCCACAGCCAGCAGCTTGTGAGGCATGTTTAGGTCAGGCAGACCTGGATTCAAATGTCTGCTTCCATGAAACACGCCATGAGTGACACACACAGCCTAGACTACCCCACAGTGCTGCTGCAACGATGAAATGGGGAGAAGACCCAGTAATTTTGCCCCACACTCCTGGGAGGGAAAGGTGGGGTGTGAATGCGAGAAATACACAGTAACCAAAAATGAGGCAGCCATTCTTAACCAGATCGTCTTCTTTTTATTCCAGAAGGGAAAAAAGTTTTTGTTCATTATTTACTTTTATTTACATACATATACTTCACATTGGTGTTTTAAAATGCACGTATTCATCACCTTGTTCCTGCTTTTAAATTAGCTGTTATTTTGTTTTGTTTTTTACAATACAAAAAAATACCAAAAAACCAGCAGCCCTAAAATGCGTATTTTTATACCATCCCCACCCCAGCAATGAAATACTTTACAATACTTACTCGTTATTTACATATGAATGCAATAAAGGCTAAATTATACATATGAACAAAACTAAGCTCAGGTCCAAATACAGAAGAATAGTGTTTTTCCCCCCACACCAGGAAAAGAAAGAACTGTAGGGGGAGGAGAAACAGAAAGAAATTCCTAAGAGAAAATTAGTTCAAGAACTCTACAGAAAAGACCTCTTTGTGCACAAATTTCAGAGTAATAGAAATGTAAGGGCTTTTTTCTTTTGCTGTTTCAAGGGCCGACATTATTTGACACACCATGACAAATTTCACTTAATTTCCCCCATCCCGGTTTAAGTGCTGGAGCAGATTCCTGATGCGAAGAGACCAGGCTCAAAAGTGTCAAAAGCATTCTGAATCTGGAAGACGCAAAAAAAAAAAAAAGCTTTTTTTTCTGGGAAAACAAAGAAAGTTTGTTGGAAGAGTTTTGCAGAGAGGCGGGAGAGTCGAGAGGTTGGTTTTGGTTGGGGGGGGCAACGTGAAGCAGCACAGCTAACCACATCCTGAATTTTAAAATTTGAAGCTGCTAGGAAAAAGGTAGCGTCTGGTGCCGCGGTTTATGAGAAGAACAGAAAGACAAAAGCGCCGCCGGCCTCTTGGCCGAAGACGCTTACCTACAGAGCAGCCGCACAAAGGAGGAACCAACCTGCATCTATAAGACACAACCCAGCAAAAGTTATTTCAAGTAGCAGCTGAAAGGGAAGAGGAAGCCGCCAAGACAACTGGCCTGAATCCCAACTTCTTCAATAGGTGTTAGAAGTGGGGGGAAGTGAAAGAGAAACTCGCAAGCGGTGGTTTTGGCAATTAAACAAACCACGTTGGTGGTGCCCATTGGGCTTAGATGGCTGTAGGTGGAGCTGGCCTGCGGAAAGGCAGTCTCTTTCTCTCTCTGGATATGTTGCCCTTGCCATCGTGCCCCACTTTTGCCAGCTTCCCAGATGCATTTGGTCAGCTCCTTTGGGGGAAAACCAGGCTCCTGGACTGGGTGGCTCCTCAAGTCCGAACTCGAAGGGCTCTGTTCACAAGCCCTTGCCTGATGAGGCCTGGAGGGACTTGTCTTCTCAAGGAACAGCAGGCAAGGCCAATGTGGTGCTCTCTAAAGGTTGCTGGGAGCATAACCCCCACAATTCCTGCCCATTGGCCACAATAGCCAGAGATGATGGGAGTTGCAATCTCACCTCTGGAGAGCGCTACATTGGCGACTGCTGTCCCAGGGGAGATTTCAATACCCACAGCGTCTTTCAGGGCCTCATGCACAGCCAAGTTTTTCACTCAACTGCTGCACTGCAACAAGTCGCTTCTGCTCCTGTTCCACACTGGGGAAGCCTGCCTTGCAGGGCGGGCAGAGTTATTTCCCACACGGCTATGGTAGACAGACTTGTTTGGGTCTCCATCCTTCCCAGCCCTGAATTACAAAAGCTCTTCCTCCCCAAATTTTGGGTTTCCCATTAGGAAAGCTGAGCTGGGTCACACACAGGCTTGAGTCTCCAGACACTTGGGGGGGGGAGACAAATGAGTCACTGGTTTGACAAACCAGCACAACTGGGTGCTTTTTGCCAGGTCGCCTCGGAGCAGCTGTCAAACAATACCAGACAAGGTCCACATGCTTCTAGCGAGACGCAGCGCTGCAACGTGCTGGCTGTGGACCTGGGGCTCCAATCCCCACCAGAGATCTGTGCATAATACAGGGGCTCAGCCTGCAGGCTATTTTTGCTTTGTGCGTGAATATGATATCACCCTAAGAGTAACAAGGAGTCGCTGCTACTAGGATGGTTTGCAGCGGGCTTTGGTTTACAGCTATTACGAGTGAGGAAATCAGTTCTGTGTCGGCGCCCTCTTAATGTTTAGCTAGGGCAGCCATCGCAACCCTGGGTCCTGCCAGATGTTTGGGGCTACATCTGGCTGGCAGCGGGTCAGGCAAGCCGGACCTATGACAATGGGAAAGAGTCCAGAAATTCGGGGAAGGGGTTTGAGATAGAGATTGGAGGTCAGCCAGTTAGGGTCTGAGCTGCTCCTCCTTTCTGAAACACATTCTCAAAAACCCTGTAAGGTGGCACAGAATTGCAGGTTGGGGGGGGGATATATATATGTCTAAGACCACTTACTGAGTTCCTGGAAAAGGTTGGATTCCTGGTTCACAGCTCAGCTTCTTTGCTCCAACGCTAAACTCATAGCCAAGGTCTCAGCCTTCATTTTATAGATATACAGATACTGTGTATATATAAAGCCCATTTCCGACAGTAATTCTAAAAGCGCAGTGGAAACCAAGTGAATATATTCTCACACATCGGCGGTCTCCGTGGGGGAATTTCTTTCCTCCTTAATACAGTGTGCATGGTAACTAGACGGCAGCAGATACCTGTCAAGGGGTGCTTTCACAGCCTGTCATTCTTCAAGCGTTTGCAATTCGCCACAGTTAGGTTACATTATTCATGGATAAGATCCAGGAGGGGAGGGAAGAGAATCTCAGGCACCAGGCAGTCAAGAGACAGCCGGGGCTTTGGCATCTGTGACACAGAACATTTGTGGCCTGACAGCTCCGAAGGACACGCAAGCCGCATCGCCAGAGATACTCGTCTGCCTTTGTGTACAAATCACAGGTCCAAACGGAACACCTTAGAAGTTTCTTGGATGGCAGCAGGCTCCCAGGTGCTCACCAGAGGAGATGAATGACCGAGGAACTGTTTGAGAACAGAAACAATTATATATATATCCCAGGTATTAAAGAGTGCCCCCCTACAGAGATCTCAATTCCAGCTGCCTCCAGAACTTCAAAAGCCGCAAAATTCAGATTCTGAAATAATGGCTTGAAAGGCGAATCTCTGTAAAGATCCCTAACTCCTCCGCTTCCCAGGGGAAACAACCCTCCATTGAAAAGCAGAATTTAGCTGGCACAAAACACCAGAATCAGCTGGGGGAGTTGTACAAGGCCTGCTCATTTCAAGGTGTTCCCGCACAACTTCCATCGACTTCAGGTTGGTCTGTCGGCACAGGTGGGTAGTCCATGGAAAATGGGGGTCGCGAAGGCCTTCTCTGACACAAGAGGTTATTCCTTAAATCAACTTGTATGCCATTTATGGAACTAAGACCCGAAGTTCTTCAAACAGATCTCCTCCCCGAAACATGCACACACTTTATTTTTTTGGCAAATAATTTTACTTTCATATTTTGGGAGCATTGCAGTCCAGTGGTTGGATTAACTCTGCAGGCTTTCCGTGATTTTCGTGGTGCAGTTCTTTTTGGAGATTGGGATTCCCAGTTCTGCTTGAGCGATGGTGATGGGAGAGAACTTTGTTAGCGCCACTCCCCTAACTCCTCAGTGTCTCAACGGAAGCGACACTGGTAGTATAATACTGGAGCAAGCTGAATGGGAACAAGTCCTCCACTCCCAGATCTTCAGATCTGTGATCCTAACTGGAAGGTCCAGGAGACGGGTGCTTAGCAGGAAGCGGGCAAGGGATCTTGGTTCATCCCGGACTCTTGTCAACGCCTTTGCCATGGCAGATTCAGGCTCTTTTCTACCGCACACAAAACCCACACAGCCTCCCCAAGGCGGCACGCTCCTTAATGCTGCAAAAATGGACTTCGAGAGGTAATTTGCTGCCTTCCACTTCTCCCCAAGGACAAGTCAATTCAAGTGCAGCTTCAACAAAGCAAATTGGGGAGGGGCAGGGAGAGAGATGCTATTTTAATTGTACGTTTGTTCCAGTTCTGTAGGGTTCAAGAAGTACAGGTTCATTAATATGCACAACGACAACATTTCTGGCCAGGCAGTCCAGAACAAGAAAGCTTTGGTCGCTCACCGTTCGTTCATTGCGAGATGCAAATGAGCGGCTAATTCCAGTCGCGCAATGCACATGCATGCACCTCCAAGGAGTCTAGATCGTTGCCTCTCTCATCTCCACTCCCTCCCCATCCCCATGAGTCCGCTCAAAATACAGCTGTAATACATTACTGCGTTCAAGAGAGGAAAAGGGGGTAGATTGGGGAAAGGGATGCAGTTACTCCAGGTGTAACTATAGGAGCTGCAACATGCGACACTGCTAAAAAAATATCGCATTTATGTTTCAAGCTACTGTCCCCCACCTGGATGCTGGGAGCACAAGCCCCAGATCTGTGCAGGGGAAGAACTTGCCAGAAAAATGCTATTGGGGGCGGCAGCCGCACTTAAGGGCCAAACATAGCTGCCTCCTCCTAGGCTACAGCAGCCTTGATCCAGCAGTGTGTTGTGCCCAGATGAGAGGGTGGCACAGGGGTTTCTCCAGTAAGTGTGGCATCAGGGGCAGCTCCCAGCCGCTGGAGTGGAAGCAATGCTACAGTGACGGGAGCCTTTGCTGCTGCTTTCTGCATGCATTTAGGCAACGGGAACGCTCTCCATCGGCGGCAAAAGTGCAATTGCATCGCGACTCTTGCTATGGCTAATGGACTGGCTCCCACGACCCCCTTGCGTGGGCTGGGATGGCATGCACCGCCAAGCAGCCGCCAGCGGTTCCATTGTAAGTGGGACACAGTTTGGGCAAAATGGGATGGTGCGCTGACTATCCCTGCCCTGTTTTGGAAGCCTGGTTGCTCCCTTCTGAACACACATGCGAGTGATTTTCAGAGGGAACGCAATAGGTGTTAAGAGCAAGTGAAAACCTGAGTTATAGCAACTTCGAACACATGCCGACTCTGCAATGCCCGCTCGATTTGGAGACAGTGCCAAAGCCAACACTTCTTGCTTCTCAAGGCTCCTGCTTCTCTGGCTGCCAAGCTAATAAAACCCCAGGTTTCTGCTGGTTTCTGTCTGGAACGTACAACGGGCAACCTGGTTAACTGCCCAGGATTTATCAAGGCCAGAGCAATGTAAGTGGCTCTCAATCTGCAATGGCAGTCCAGCCCCTGGGCCAACCGAGAAGCCGCACCTCAACTTCTTGAGAAGGCACTCAAAGGGTGCCACCAGGTGCCACGCTCAGGTCTCCCAGCCTCTCCTTGGGGCACCTTACGTCAACCTGGCACCCTCCAGCTCAGTGGTTCTCAACCTTGGGCCCCCGGATGTTTTTGGCCTACAACTCCCATGATCCCTAGCTCACAGGACCAGTGGTCAGGGATGCTGGGAGTTGTAGGCCAAAAGCATCTGGGTACCCAAGATTGAGAAAGGTGCTCCAGATGCTTACTACAACTCCCATCAGCCCCAGCCAGCACAGTGTGATGGGAGTTGTAGTCCCAAACATCTGGAGGGCACCAGGTTGGCTAAGGGATGCTTCAGAGTTAATTCAGACCCTACCCTTGCCTTTGCAGGAGTACACTTTCCGGGTGTGCAGGATTATTGATAGGTATCGGGGAGGAGCGAGCAATGTAAGCTGTTCAAACAGAAGGGACCACTCTTCAGAGCACATCCGCTGTAATGCAGAAAGTGGTTTTCCCCACATTCGTTCTCAAGTGAGGTAAAATAAAAAGGCGTGTGGGAGAGGGGTGGCGCCCAAAAGAGGGAACATCTGCCTTGAATGGAAGCAGATGCACGATGTGAAATGACAATAAATAGGAAGCATTCCAGCCCCCCACCCCGGCCCCCCGACAACCACCACGGCTCCATCAGCCTGAAACAGGTTAGCATCCTTATGCTCTGCGCCCGTTAACTGGGCACAGCGCGGAAAAGGCCACGGATTGCCCAGGGTAACTGAGGAATGTAGTTACGCAAGAGGCCAGCTATGCTAATTCCCCTTTGCTGCCTTGGTTCTATTTAAAACCTTGGGAACACTTGCACACAGATCTGCCACATAGATCCACGTGAAAAACATTAATCTTCCCAGAAAAGGGAGGTGTGTTTTTTTCCCCTGGCAATGTGCTGCAGTGCGTAGCACCCAGCCACAACATCCCTCGATTTAATACAGTCAGGTGGATGAAAATAAAGCGGCAAACATAACCCCAGCCCCAATGAAGGTATTGTATTTGGAACAGAGCTCTAAATAAGAGAGAAATAAATAGAATTTTTTTTACAACACTGGGTTCCTGGAGGAAATTGAGTTAGCTTCTCCTTAAATCCTGGGGGTTTAACTGCCGAGGGCAGAAAATTATCTGTAAGCGCTGCAGCTTTTCTTGTACGACCAGGGAAGGGGTGTGGGGAAGAGAATCAAATATCACAAAGCACTTTCCACATACAAAAAGCCGAGTGTTCTTTGTCTTCCCGTGGCTTTTCCCTACTGCCAACCTTCAGTGGTAGAGGCGGACGGATAATGGATTCGCAACCAACGGCCTTTAGCTGGATAGGGGAGGGAGATGCAAAAACGTGGGAGCCAGGCGGGCACGACGGGATTGGCAAATCTAAGACGGAGTGGATGTCGAAAACAAGGCCAACTAAGACAACGCCAGCAGGAAGGGCTGGATGCTCCCCAGAAACATTGCGCCCGGTGCTTCGAGGTGTCCTTTGCGACACAAACCTTGCAAAAAAAACCACACCTCTGTCCTCCTCCTCCCAGGTAATCCCTTGTGTTTAAAACCCTAAAGAGGCAGTTCAGATGTCCATGCATCAAATACAGGTCCCGGGCTGGGCTGGAGGCTGCTGTTTACGACTTCGTACCGCTCCCGACTTCTCTTTGTAGGCAATAGGCATTTGTTGTGAAATGTCCACCAACGCACTAGCCACTGCAAGACCTGGAAGGAGAAGGGGGAGAGCAGGGAGTTACAGGCAGAACGGAGAACAGGGGAGCCCAGCCAGCATCATCACACCCATCCATCGTAGACTGGCCAGAGACCCAGGGAGGGTTCTGCTCCCTCGCCAGATTCCTTGCACCCACCTCTGACGCAACTGGTCTCCACACTCAGTGGAAGGTGGACCAACCCTTGGCCAGGATTCAGAAGATGGGGTGGAAGATGGCAACGCTAGCTTCCAGAGAGAACCCAAAGCTTACAGACAACTCTTAAGGCAGGGTGACTCTGCCCTTGCAAAGTTTAATAATATATTATTATAATATTATTATAATAATTATTAATTTATTATTTATACCCCGCCCATCTGGCTGAGTTTCCCCAGCCACTCTGAGCTGCTCCCAATCGAGTGTTAAAAACAATACAGTATTAAATATTAAAAAATTCCCTAAAGAGGGCTGCCTTCAAATGTCTTTTAAAAATAGGATAGCTGCTTATTTCCTTGACATCTGATGGGAGGGCGTTCCACAGGGCAGGCGCCACTACCGAGAAGGCCCTCTGCCTGGTTCCCTGTAGCTTTGCTTCTCGCAATGAGGGAACCGCCAGAAGGCCCTCGGCGCTGGACCTCAGTGTCCGGGCAGAATGATGGGGGTGGAGACGCTCCTTCAGCTATACTGGACTGAGGCCGTTTAGGGCTTTGAAGGTCAGCACCAACACTTTGAATTGTGCTCGGAAACGTACTGGGAGCCAATGCAGATCTCTCAGGACCGGTGTTATGTGGTCCCGGCGGCCACTCCCAGTCACCAGTCTAGCTGCTGCATTCTGGATTAATTGCAGTTTCCGGGTCACCTTCAAAGGTAGCCCCACGTGGAGCGCATTGCAGTAGTCCAAGCGGGAGCTAACTAGAGCATGCACCACTCTGGCGAGACAGTCCGCAGGCAGTTAAGACTTCCCCTGCATGCATAGACAGGCTTTGGTGAAGAGACCAGATTAATTGCGTTTCCAACGGTTTCTGCGTATGCTGTTGAGGGAAGTGAGGTGCAGATGGGACTCGTCAACCTGGGAAGATAGCCCATCTAGGAGAAGGAAAACTCTTATCCTAAATCTCCCATTTCCTTGCAGGATATCTTCGGGAGAAGAAAAGGCTAAGGGGTAAAGCCTACACAAATCCAGAGTGGATCTGCTAAGATGGTTGGATGGTGCCTTGTATGCCTCCTTTCAACAACTCCTGCAGCCAAGTTGGTGCAAAACGCATTGAACTGCTTTCCTTTGGACCAAGGCTGAGAGGAGACTCGTGTGGTCTGGGCAGCCCAAAACCTCCACAAACACTGCCAGCGTTGTGCCCTAGGGAGGTCTCTTTGGTTACTTCTAATGATGCAATTTGACTTCTACGGAAGTGATCTCCATTGTCTTTTGAGACAGACGGATGCCGACAACAAGCACTCTCAACAAGACAGGAAGCAGGAAATGAGTGCCTCTATACCGACAGCAGCACTTGCTTCCATGCACCGGGGCGTACAACATGTCAGTTATATGCCTTTAGCAGATGCAGTTATACTAGGCGTACACGGGCGTGCAAATCAGCACAAGTAGCCGTCCACGTGGAGGTGCTTTGAAAGGAATGAGTTGCATTTAAAGTGGCCCCAAGGAAAGGAAAGCGAAAAAGGGTCGGGTGGACTTAGACATCGAATGGCTGTAGGAAGGGGTTACTGGACGACTATGTTACTGGACGACAACTTCCAGCACACTTCAAAAAAACAGAAGGGCACCGTGCTGTGGAAGGACGGTGGTTGCTTACCCGATTGCCCTGGTGGAGGGATACCTCCCAGGCCTCGTGGCAACCTCACAAATACCGAAAGAACAGCAGCTTTGTTGCCAAAACAGGGCTCCAACGCTATGGGTTTGGGGACAGTCTGCGGGGGAGAAAAGAGAGCATAATTTACTTCATGCCAGTTTCACCTGATTTTGCCAGCTTAGGAGCTGACCTCTAATCTTCAACCAAACCGCAATCCAATCTGCAGCCACAAACTCCACGATATGCTATACCTGGACAGAACCAACGCAAGGGGCCATAAGAAGTGCTCACAGAATGGAACAGAGGCAGCATCCCTTTTTTTTATTTTTAAAGTCAAGGGAAAGCAATCAGCAGCTGTGTTTTCTTGCATCTGATTTATTTATCTTTGCTCAGCTTACTTTAAGCGATCTCTCCGTGGTTAAATACAGGTTTGTGTGCACACATTCCCAGAATCAATTCAGCCAATACTTTTTAGCAGGCAGAGCAGAAGCCAAGGTTCATCCGTGCCTTTGCATAACCGGGGAGGAGGGCGACGGCAGGGTGCAGAAGGAAGAGGAATACCGAAAAAGAGCATCTGAATTACAGGCTCTGGGAGTTGGAGCAGAACGAACGCTTGGAGGGTGACAAGTTCCCCATCCTCAGGTACAAGGCAACTCCTGGGAGCACAGGAAGGTGCCTCATACAGAGTCAGACCATTGGGTCTGCCTAGCTCAGTATTACCTACACTGGCTGGCAGCAGCTCCCCAGGGTTTCCCAAAAATCACAGACACGGGTGGCATTCCTGAGTATGAAATTCATTTTTCTCTCTCAAGCTCATGCCGCAAATCTCTAGCCCTCTGCTATGTCACGCTGGTTTCTTCTGTGCGGCTCCTGAAACATGTCTAACATGCACTTAGCAGGGCTCCAAGACCCTGTGGTCGAAAATAAACTGGAAAGTGTTTCCATCTATATTTCACTTTGATAGATCAGCAGCTCATTTTAATGGGGCATGTAATTAAATCGAAAAGGTACTAAGGAACTGTATTTCAACATCTATTAAAAGTAGCAAAGTGTTCTCAACAGCAAAGTAGCTGGGAACAAGGCTCAAAAACTTGGGTCTTTGTGCGAGCAAACTATCAGAGAAGCAATTACAAAAGGAAAGGAAAACACTGTTCTGCTTAGCGGCTGGTACGTTTTGTTGCTTATAAAGTTTCAGCTTCAAGCAAATTCTTTTTATGACGTCCTAAACGGAGCAATTATTGCCTTTTTCGTTAGGTGAGGCATTATAATGCAGTACTTATGAGCCAAACAGAAACTATAGATGTTAAAAGAAAGGGAGAAGGAACCAAAGTCACCATTAAGTTAACAAATGCCTAACAAGGCAGTGACAGAGAGAAAAACCAAAATTAGTGCCTTTACGCATCTCTAGTATTAAACGGATAACAAACACACTGATGGATTAGTCCCTGCAAAGCATTTCGCTGTCTACCACAGGGAGGCTGATATTTACAGCAGCCTGTGCCCTGGAATCTCCACTCCCTATAGAGTTGCTAAAGTTCAAAATAATTCTTTTCTTACAAAAGCAGTGGAGAACAAACTTGCACCATATATTCTGCTGGAACTCAATTACTAGAACTAATGGGCATGCAGCACCAGGCAACTCCAAGTAATACATTGCCCATGGTGGCATCCAGCATGGAGAGAGAAATAGACAGAAAGAAGAGGAAAGAGAAAGAGGAGACGAGTATATATAAATAGTGTAGAAGAGGAAGGATGGGGAATTGGAATCTGGCAAGCAGACTGGATCTTTGCCTCCCCTACAGGCCAACTTTAACAGGTGGGCAGGCCCCCTAGCTGCCAATCACCCAATATCACAATGGTGTCAAGTAACCAGTTTTCCTTTGAAATCAAACCACCAGCTGATTGGCAGAGCCTGCTAACTCCACTTTCAGTAGAGCACCACATGTTTACCTGCCCTACCTGTAGGGCAGGTGGGCATGGCTTGGCTGAAAGGGTCTCACAGACCAAATGGGAGCGGAGCAGGCATTCCACACCACGGTTTAGATTAGTGTTCTTCCACCTTGGTTCTTCCAATGATGATGGACTACAACTCCCACCATCCCCAGCCAACTTAGCCAATGGTCATGGACGATGGAAGTTGTAGTCCAACAGCATCTGAGGAGCTAAGGCTGAAGGACACTGGTTTCAGGAAAAGGAGAGAAAGCCAATGGTCCAGCTGTTCAAGCAAGCAACTTATAGGATGTGCAGGTCCATGATCTTCATTAACATTTTAATTGATATTAAGCCAGGACAGAGTTACGATAGCGTGTTTATTTTTTAGGCTACTTTGGTTTAGGTGCATTCCTTGTAGTAGAGAACGAAGACGGAAATACCGTATTTTTTGCTCTATAAGACTCACTTTTTCGATCCTAAAAAGTAAAGGGAAATGTGTGTGCGTCTTATGGAGTGAATGCAGGCTGCACAGCTATCCCAGAAGCCAGAACAGCAAGAGGGATTCTTGCTTTCACTGCGCAGTGATCCTTCTTGCTTTTCTGGCTCCTGAGATTCAGAATTTTTCTTTTCTTGTTTTCCTCCTCCAAAAACTAGGTGCGTCTTGTGGTCTGGTGTGTCTTATAGAGCGAAAAATACGGTACTTAAGGGCAAGCCTTTCCTACTAAAAGAACATGCAACCCCCACCGCATCCCTAATCTCCAGGTAATGTATGAATCCCTGTTTCTGCAAAGGAAATGAGAAATGCACCACATTCACTCAGAGGGCTTGGGACCTGTTTGCAGGTTTCCCATAGGCATCTGGTTGGCCACTGTGGGAACAGGATGCTGGACTAGGTGGGCCGTTGGCCTAATCCACCAGGCTCTCCTTAGGCTCTTGTTTTCTTAATGTGCATCTCAGCAGGTGAGTCACAACTGAAGGGGAACTCCATGGAGTTCATCTTCCCATGCCCAACCTGCAGGTACCTACTCTTCTCAACGGAATGGCTAACGCCGCAGAGCTGAAGAAGGCCTCCCGCTTCCGGACCCAAGAGGCTGTTAGTGTGGTCCAAGAGCCTTTGCTCCAACTCCCTCTCCCAGGAACAGGAAGCCTAGCTAGATAGCCCAGCTCCCACAGTGACAGAACAGGTTTCTTGGATCTCTGCCCAGACCAAGCTTCCTACTAAACTTAGGTGGCCTGTCTGACACTCCCCCGCCCCCTTCTTTGGGGTGTCATTTCGCAAGATGCCGTGGAAGTGTGCTGAGAGACCTCGGGGGGGGGGGGGGGACTTTCCGTTCTGCCCCATTACTTTTCTTCACATAAATTCACCAAGTCGCAAGGTCTAGGGATTGATAAACACATTCTTTATAAAAATAGACGTCAACAACAAAAAACAGATTCCCCATACTCATTCTGAGAGCGATAATCAGTCCTAATTAAGTATTGCGAAACACCAGATGAATAAGTGAATTGGGTTATCCTTTTTCAAATCCAATTAATGGTGATAGGCAGGGCCAAACACTTAAAAAAATAAAAATACAGAATGACCACTGAACATGAACCCAGGGGAAAAAATCCTCCACACACTTCTTCTCCAACCATGTCCATTAAATCCCCCCATGCAGTAATAATAATAATAATAATAATATTAATAATAATAATAATAATATAATTTATTATTTATACCCCCAGTCACTCTGGGCAGCTTCCAACAAAATATTAAAATACAATAGTCCGTCAAACATTAAAAGCTTCCCTAAACAGGGATGCCTTCAGATGTCTTCTAAAAGTTGGGTAGTTGTTGGTCTCTTTGACATCTGGTGGGAGGGCGTTCCACAGGGCGGGTGCCACTACCGGGGAGGCCTTCTGCCTGGTTCCCTGTAACCTGGCTTCTCACAGCAAGGGAACCTCGGCGCGGGACCTCAGTTTCCGGGCAGAACAATGTTGCACAGTAAACTTAAGGGCACAAGAGGATCCCTGCTGGATAGGACCAAAGGTCCACCTAGTCCAGAATCCTGCTTTCTACCATGATGGCCATCCAGATGCCTCCAAGAAGCCCACAAGTATGTTTTGAAGGCAATGGCCCTTTCCTGCTGTTGCCTCCTCTAGCACCTGCTATTCAGGTATGGGGATTCCCTTCAACCACCATGGCCCATAGCAATGGGTAGTCCTCTCTTCCTCCATGAATCAGTCAAGGCCCCTTTGAAAGCCATCCAGCCTAGTGGCTGGGGATGGGGTGGGTCAAGGGGCTCCCATTCCCTCCTCTTCCTCCTCCTCCCATGGAAGGTGTGCAGAGGAGGGCGACCAAGATGATTAAGGGTTTGGAAACCAGGCATTATTAGGAACGGCTGAGGGAGTTGGGAATGTTTAGCCTGGAAAAGAAGAGACTGAGAGGAGATAGGATGGCCAGCTTCAAATATCTCATGGGCAGTCACATGGAAGAGCGAGGAAGATTGCTTTCTTCTGCTACAGAGGATGGGACTCGAACAAATGGCTTCAAGTTACAAGGAAGGAGAATCCGACTAAACGTCAGGAAGAACTTTCTGGTAGTAAGTGTCAGTAGTTCAGCCTGCACTTGAGTAGGACCCTGGTAGAGACACATGCCCGACTGGCATGTTCTCTCCCTCCTGGTCAATCGTTTGGGAGCTTCAAAAGCGTTCTTCAGCCCGAACATCACAGCGACCGATGCCAACAGACATCGGCACACTTAGGGATCTGCAGAGTCTTCGCAGCTTGCGTAACAGAACCTCAGCAACTCAGCATTTTGGCTAATCTACTTTATTTACATATAAACACACACGGAGCACTGCAACATGGCTCCCTCTCTCTCTAGCATCAGACAGCAAAAAGAGAAAGAACAAAGGACAATAGTCACTTCACGGAACACAGGAACACAAACATCCTGTCTCTGTCACTTCCCACTCTGGGATATATCGTCATGTGAAAGACAACAATCTTATGGCTGCAATCATGGATGTTACATGGATGTAACATTGCAGCTGTTTGACCGTGGAGTGGTTTTTAAGCAGAGGTTGGATGGCCATTTGTTAATGGATGCTTTAGTTGAGATTCCTGTATTGCAGGGAGTTGGACTAGATGATCTTTGGGGGTACCTTCCAACTCTACAATTCTATGATTCTATGATAATCA